AATTGGCCTAAGAAGCTATTCCTATTAGGCTACTAGTGAAAGATTATCAAGAGTGTTTGTTTTTATTCAATAAACAAAATTTTACCTGCTTAACCAGTGGTAGTGTTGTGCTCAGATGTGATGTCTACACATTGAATAACCGTAAAACGTATTTTCTTTACTCTTTGTATATGCAAGATGTTGAGAATAAATTTGATAATCACAATAGGAAAAGGAAAATGTGGTTGCTAACTATGAAATGAGATAATATTGAAAGAAACTGAGTTGACCAAGACGCTGGACTATTCGGAATGGGTTTAGCTCAAAATAATCCCTATTAGCGTCTACTACAAGCTCAATCCAGCCACTGAATGTGAGACCAGTTGTTCTCTACACTTCCACCATAGCAGGGGCCTCAGCAGCTTCGTTACTTCTGCCCAGTAACTACTGGCTGGCCTTTGTAGTACCGACACAGCGATTGGTGTCTTTCTCGACAGCGCCCAATACCGGGTTAAGATCTGGGACAGATAAGGAGCTTGGAGACCAAGCACACTTTGTGACTGACGTAATCTTAACAATTGGCTCACAACTCCTCTGACCCAAGGGTTGTTTCAGATAGTGGTCAGCGATTTCAAGTAGGTATCTGAATTCGACCTGATCCCCTCAATCGAAAAGTGCTTGAGGGAGGCATCATATCATCCACTCGAGGATTTCATTTGGAATGAAACTCCCGTCTTTGAGGGAGGGTGGTCGTTATTATTGAACCAACCGGTTGTCTGCTTTCAAATGTAAAATTTGTAGAATCAAATGAAATGTTGAATATTGTTACCCACAACGGTTTATAAGGAAAATTCAAGAACTTCTCTTACTGACTACTTCATAAGCGATTGTTTAAGTTAGTCTGAAGAATTTGTTATTTCGGCAAATGAGTCTTAATAGGCATTTGAGACAGTTGGCGATTAACTGAGTTAACCCAATGTTATTATTTCAAATGGCAGCTTTATAATATTTACCATTAGCCCCTTAGTTGACTTCGGCTTTCACAAGGGGTGGGGTGGGGGGGGGGGGGGGGGGGGGGGGGGGGGGAGGGAACATATGTAGCAGTTCATTAGATCATCTGCATGATGTAAGCACTTGATGCCCGTGACTGTCTGTACCAGTTCAACTATGTCATTGATGAAGACGCTGAAAAAGTACAGCTTGTGACAGCTCCCTGTGGTTGACCTGTTTGTAAAATATTAGAATTGGACAGAGCGTTTCCATATCTGACTTTGCGTGTTCTTTGTCCAATGAATGCTTTTATCCAGTTTAGCGTGTTATGTTTTATACCAATCTTCGTCAATTTTAGAATTAGGTTCGCCTTCCATATTATGCCATATGCTGATTTGAAATCGACGAATACAGTCGTAAGAGTATATCTCGCATCAAGGGCATCTTTGATGTGTTGGGAGAAAGTGGCTACTTGAGAGTGCAAGAATGGTGGGTTGCTTGGTCTCCGTTGGGAGAAAGTGGCTACTTGTTGGTTCGTTGATCATTGTGACCTAAAAATAGTTCTTGCATCAAGGGCATCTTTGGTGTGTTGGGAGAGTAAGGGTATTTTTTGCATTAAGGGCATCTTTGATGTGTTGGAAGAAAGTGTTGCCTCAAGGGCATCTTTGATGTGTTGGGAGAAAGTGACTACTTGAGAGTGCAAGAATGGTGGGTTGCTTGGTCTCCAAGGGCATCTTTGATGTGTTGGGAGAAAGTGGCTACTTGTGGGTTAGTTGATCCGTGGCCTAAACGTTCACTCCTAAGAATATTGCTGGTCTCAAGGAACCAGGTGATTCACTCCTAAGAATATTGTTAGTCTCAAGGAACCAGGTCCGAGGATATTGTTGGTCTCAAGGAACCAGGTCAGCTTCCTGTTAACCTATCTTTTCGTAAGTTTAGCCAACGTGCTTGTGAGGGAGATAGGCCTATAATTGTCGAAGTTGCTAGGGTCTTTGCCCTTTTTTAGTACTGGTATTACTTTGGCAACTTTCCATTGGTTAGGTACGAGACTGGTCTCCCAGATTTTGTTGAAAAGTGTCAGCATGGTTTCCTTGGCTTCTAGCAACATTCTAATTAGAATTATAATTAAAACGTATGTAGTTATAATAAAATGACATCAGTTAAACGCTTTAATACTCTCAGAGAAAAGTTTAATGTCATATTTAAATGTCCCATGACAAGCAGCTGAAATTTACTTGTAATTTAATTTAATATCAAACATGTTATATATGACCACCATTGAAATCAACTAATCATCAACTTGAAAATTTCAAAGTTAAACCCAATTTAAGCCACACTAGAATGAGAACAAAATTAAAGTTGATCTGGTTTATAGAAATTTACTCCATGTCTTTAAAACACAAGCAAATTTTAAATTAAAGTAAACAAAATCAAATTCACTTCATGGATAAGTAAAAATCTTCAATTCTTTTTCCTTTTTGGGCTTTTAGAACTTCTATTTGAACTCTTCTTAGAACTCTTTTTGGAACTCTTCTTAGAACTCTTAGAATTAGAAGAGCTCCTTTTCTTTTTTCCAGAGCTATTAGGAGTTGCTGCGGTTGGTGGATTTGGTTCAGGATCGCGCACCCAAGCGTAATTAAGAGTCCATTCTCTTGCCATGGAATTAAATTGTTCTCTTTCATATTCGAGCATCCTTGCAACTTGCGGATTTATCGCACCATCAATCAACGGGAAGGTCAACAATGAAAGAATAGCCAGAATTACTAATAAGAAGCCTCTTAGTAAAAGAAAAACACATGCTTTTTGGAATAGTAATTCGTGGTTGCCAAGCTTCATGCAAAATGTCCAAGCAAACTTCTCCGTTTTCATTTATATTAGGATGAAAAATTGATGTTTCAAAGTTCACTTTTGGAGGACATTTTGGAAATTCATTCGGAAATTTAAATACTAAAGTAAATTTCCCACCTTCGTAGGGAGTATCGGACTAAATACGCTAAATATTTGCACCAAATAAAATTTTACCGGGCCACTTATTTGAACCTTCCAAAGAAACACTTTAATTTAAAAAATTATTGAAAAAATAGCATACAGTTA